TCCACCATATCGTATTCTTCTTTAAGGAGACCCACCCGCCCTACCTCCCCGCCTACCCCCGCCTACCCCCCGCCTACCCTCCGCCTACCCTCCGCCTACCTCCTTTTTATTAAAACCCCTTTATCATTATCATTACCATTATTATACTAAATTATATTCTTTTTTTTATTTTTATCTATCTTTCTTTATTATTTCCTCTTATTATAAATGAGTTGTCGAAACAATGACCGGCAGCCCTATCAATTTATAGGCAGCACAAACAGGACAACTTTACAACCTGAAATCAATCAAATTAATGCCGATATCAATGCCCTTTATTCTAATGTCGATGTGCTCAATGATGAGACAAATTTATTATTTAATCGATATGAGACGATCGAAGCGCTTGCAATTGATACATCCAATAACCTAATATCAACATCTAATCAATTATATGAAGGTATCGAAGACAATTCAAATGAGATCAATTTTATTCTGCGCCGCATCAATGACCTTTCACAGACCGAAGAAACAGTCATCATGAACCAAATGAGAATGTTGATCTATTTGAAATATGATCTTGATCTTGAAAAATCAACAATTAAATTCGCACTAGAAAATGGAAGCTTGATATCTATTCAATACATCAAAAATAAATTGGATGAGCTCGCCGGAGCAGATCAAGCAGAAGATGCAGAAGATGCAGCAACAGACGCAGCACAGGCAGGGGCCGATGCTGTCAATGCAGGCGGCGGATTTGCTGGCTCTGTTGTTTCGGCTGTCGCTGGTGGGATTTTTGGCGCTCTGGGAGGCTCAGCCCTCGCTATTCCGTCCATGATAGAGGCCGCAGCTACTAGGGAAGCAGTTATTGCTTTGATGCGATATCTTCAAGATATAGATGATCAATTGAAAGTTCAAGATGATGTCATTAAGGTTTATTCAAGGGACCTTATAGATGGTGAAAATTTAGGCTTTGGATCTAATCTGAATTTTATATATGATTTGCAAATTGTGACATTGCCTAATGGCTGCAATGTCAATAAATGGACAACTCGACTTTTAGGCGAACAGATCTTAACATTAGGCGAAGAATTGACAGAAGCCGAATTAAATCAATATGTATTTGGTAGCAATTATGAACTACAAACATTAAAAGAACATAAAAATGTTTTCAAAGGCAAGACATTATTTATTGATGATATTATTGCGCCTAATATCTATACCAAAAGCGAGACAGATAATGAGATATCAAACACTTCAAACATATTATTTGACGCTTTGCTTGACTGCGTCAACTTAATAAAAACAGATTCAAACATATTATTTGAATATATACAAGATGATGTCAAAAATACTTATGATAAAATCGTTTCTAGTCCATGGACTAGCAATGTTACCGATATATCTATTAATTACAATGGCAAGGTTGGCATTGGAAACGCCGAGCCTATGGGCCCGCTTCACATTGGCAATTCTAATATGTTTAGCGATGGTCATCTTATCCTAAGCTATGGAACCGGAGGATATGGAACAAATTTCCGGATTGGCTATAACTTCTTAGATAATTATTTAATGATGGGAGATTTTACAAGTGATTCTTGGAAAGGTCAAATAAAGATAAACCCTGATGCCTATGATGGCGCTTTTGTCATTGAAAACGACGGTTCAATTCTGCTCGGTTACAAAACGGCAATACTACCCACAGGAAGAAAACTCAAATTAAATTCTGCTGGAAATTTTGACGATGGGGTTGAGATTGTCGGAAATCTCACAGTAACAGGCGAGATTGTGGGGTTGCAAGATCTTATAAACAATACATCTAATATTCTATATGAAATCATACGCGATGAATCAAACATATTAAATAATACGATATATAATGAATCAAATATATTATATAATTATCTGAAAGAAGATTTTAATCTGTTATATGATACGATATATGATGAATCAAATATATTATACAATCATTTAAAAACTGATTCAAACCTATTAAACAATCGTATATATACAGAGTCTAACATTCTTTATCATGTGATCAACAATGAAATAAAAAACTCAGTGAACACAAATAATTTAACAGTCAATAATTCTTTAACGTTCTCGGATAAGTTAGCTTTGAACAATAATAATTTGAATATAACATTTCCTGTTTCATCATCATCGCCTTTGACTGCAGATGTATATATTGGGCCTACTAGTTTCACAATAAGAAACTTATTGAATACATCTTATAACAACATAGAATTTACCGGCACAATAGAAGATACATTTAAATTAAACTTATCAACATACAGACTTAATTTTCAAAGCAATCAAAATTTAATAGTCAATGACCTTTTATTTTCTCAGTATATAAACCTTTCTTTTTGGTGGAGATTTGACAACACGAACGAGGCAAGAAACAACGGAACACAAGAATATAGACTTTTTCAAATCAAATATGAAAATAAGAATGGCAACGATGATTTTTATGATGGGACTGAATTTTACTGGATTATTTCAGATGATGATTCTTTACCTGATAAATTTTTGGGGCTGCGGGTCAAGATTGTGTATATAAATAATTTACAACAAAGGGTTGAAAATTTGAGGTCCGTCATCATTAACAATAATTTTGCGAATGATAAAACATTGTTTTACGATTGGAATCATTACGCTTTCAGCATATCCAAAGATATATTTAAGGTTTATCTGAATGGTGTTTTGGTGGCAATGGATATCACGCCACCGACTGCGAATTGGTATCAATTACATCCAATTGTAATTTATAATTATAACATTAGAAACTACATCCTAAAAGATGGGAGATATTCAGCTAATAGGGGAATATGTAATATTGTTATGAATGCTACAAATGGGATATGGTCTGATGATGATGTTTCTAAATTATACAATGGTGATGTCAATAACATGAAAACAAAGATAACGGGAGGGCTACAATTGGACCATTTGATATGCAATAATATTTTATACGGTGGTGCCTCCCTAAATTTGAATAATCAAACAGTGAGCACTGAACAAAGCCTTTCAACAAATAACAACATAAGACGAAGCTTAACTATCAACAATGAACCAGCTAAGACAAATATAACTGACCTTTATGAGGCAAATGATAGCATAGGCGTTTTGCGAACCTATAATAATTCCGGTAGTGTTAATTTTAAGATTGAACCATTTCAATTAAATTTTAAAAACACGAAAGACGGAGATGTCACGATAACATTTGATAATTATAACAGTCAAAATATAACATTAAAAGACGGCGTCAAAGGTGATAAGGGAGACACTGGAAGCACAGGAGCAACAGGAGCAACTGGTGCAACTGGTGCAACTGGAAGCAAGGGCGATAAAGGCGATAAGGGCGATAAAGGCGATGCTGGCACAAATGCAGGTCAAATCATATTTAAAAATTATGATGGAACGGTTGAATTAGCAAAAATCGGCGATTCTAATGTTTCAAGTGCCTCAATCAATATTCCAAAAGGAACAAATGCCGGAGAATTGAAATTTTATAATGCTGATGGGACAGAATTAATAGGAAAAATTGGAGATGCCAATGTTTCGTCTGCTTCCATTAATCTACCAGCAGTTGGCCCAAGGGGTTACGCCGGTGTGAATGCTGGACAGCTTAAATTCTATAATTCTGATGGCTCGACATTATTAGGTCAAATCGGAGATTCAAATGTATCATCTCAATCAATAAATCTATATAGTGCGGGTGTGAATGCTGGACAGCTCAAATTTTATAATTCAGATGGTAGTTTATTATTAGGTCAAATCGGAGACCATGCCGTTCACAAGGCCATATGCAGGCTCTAGCAAAATTGGTCTTTTTTTTTCTCCTTGGGAAGGGGTTCATATATACACTTCCATTCAGCTACCCCGGTTTTTGCTCTCTTACTGGAGGGTAGTGCGACAGGGATAAAGTAGGGTGGGGTGATTTGAATTATACTGGCGTGGTACCCTGTCCCCCGCCTTACTTTTTGAAGCACTTCATTTTAATTGTTTAGTCAGCGCTTCAATCATACACATCTACGTACGGATGAAGTGCCTCTGGTACAGTCTGTACTATTCTTTTAAAGTGGTTTCGACAGGCGTCTCGAATCAGCCTCCACCCTAGTGACTTCCTTTGTCTGGAGGGGTAGAGGACCGAAAGATTCTCTCATACCCGTGCATTTCACTGTATCACGGTACGTGGGGGTGCTAATGGAAAAGAAGGCATTTCGATTGCCGTTGGAGCTCACCACGCCAATACCCCCGGTTCCCCTTCATCACCTTTACGAAAGGCGGGGTGGGTAGCTAGCAAAGAATACAAATCTACCCTTTGATTCAAGAGTTTGAAATTGGGAAATAGGGGGTAGGGTGCTATCTCCACTCTCCTTTCCCCAAATCCCCCCTCCCTGGGCAAGCAAGAGATGGCTGATTGATCCTTCACCCGCATGCAACGACAAGTCATCATGGTGAGAGGCTTCGAATCTATTGCTGCTTGAATGTGGATGAGAATTTAATCGTCTAATGTATCCATGTAGATAGACTAAGACCTTTTCTTAGTCTCTGACTTTGAAAGAAAGTTTTGAATTCCGCTTCTCTTACATGACTGCATGACAGAGAAAGCTGTCTAGGAATGAAGATGTCTTTAGAATACATTGCAAAAGATGAATACACCTTTTCTGCTCTCTTATTTGTTGTTTCAAGCATGAGAGCCGTATGTACGAGGATTCAGAGAGGAAGTATGGTTTACAATGCTGCACCATCAGTTTGCAAATGAGGTGCTTTCATGCACTCCAATCTTGCAAATATGCTAGAAATATTCAAGTATTTGCAGTTCAGATCCTCAAAAGCAACATCTTCACATTATTTCTGATTGAGCATGCATTCAAAATGCTCAAGGATCAACATGCTCCACGTAGCTGTGGCGACATGGAAAGTCTGTTTCAACCACAGGATGAGAATCCTACAGCAATCAATGTGGCTTACTAGAGCTACAAGCATACATTGTGCATAATTAGGTTTATTTGCAACTTTTTGATGTATCTCTGCTATGCAGGCACAACGAAGAAACCAATGTGAGGCTTATTGTGCTGACCATTGCGCATGTATTTGATGCTACTTGCGGTTGTCATTGTAACTAGATTGCTGCAAAGAATGATACCTCATGAATGTATAAAGATTTCTGCAATCAGATCACTACCACTTGTGATGTCGATCCCAAGCTTACAGTGAGTCGGAATGGTCTACAGGGGAAGCGATGTTTTCATCATCATTCAACCCCTGCATGCATTCTGCATTTATGTGAAATGAAAGAAGATATAGAAATGCTCTTTAGCATGGCCTCGAATGCAAGACTGAGATCACTTTATTTCACAATAGAACAAATAACACATGTGTGCATACTGTGTTGACGGTTCAAATGTCCGACATCACAGCTAGATGAACGCTCAAAACTAATCCCACGCATCAAGAAATCAACACACTCTGCAAATCTCAGAAGTGGAGACTCTCGACGGTGTTCAAGGCTTAAGATGTCTTGATTGCCTCTGGCGGCATCAGTGTTTACATGCAATCAAACATCCTCACTGCAGTAGGCGAAATGCATGCAGAAATCTTGTGAAACAATCTATGCAATGCTTGATGTCTAATATAACAAGTGGGCTTGACTAATTACGTGAATCTGCAACATGATGCAATCTCCATCAAACAATTCTTCAAGGCATCGCATGTGGAAAATATGCAATTCAAAAATCATTCATCGCAGGGAAGTATCTTATGATTATTCTGCGCTGCCATAAGGTTGGTGTCAAGTCAAAATGACAAGCGATCTCCTGCACTGGATTCAAACCTCATGTTTTCATCATCTTGTTCTTCATGAGAACCTTTTGAACCATGGATCTCACAACGCCATTGCTGCACACTCTGTTGTCACCGAACGCATCACCACGAACCTAGCGGTCTCAGGTCTCAAACTGTGCTGACTAGAGAGCTTCAAACCTAACAAAGCCTTGCATGCTGAGATCTGATGCTGGCTACAGCAGCGGATGGTCTTACAGCGGCATCGTTGGAGGAGCAGCTTTGGTGCTACGTGCCGGCGTGTAGGGGAGACATGAGTCGGGCGTGTACGATGTTGAAAACATTTCAACCCTCTGAAATGAAAGTTAAAATACATGTAAAGGCCTAGCAGAAATGATAACTAAACTGCACTGGTACTCTTTGGAGGTATCTCTTGCTGCCGTTGAAAACTTGTTTGAATTCACACGCCACCCCAAAAAAAACTTTCTGGAAAAGAAGAGTGGAAATTAACGAAAGGGCTAAAAGTGAACGGCATGCCTAACGTTTCAACTGCTAACATAAATATACCAGCAGGCGCAACAGGACCACAAGGGCCACAAGGAGCAACAGGACCACAAGGCGCAACAGGAGCGCAAGGACCAGCAGGCACAAACTGCCCTGAGATTGTTTTGTTAGATAGTGAGAATAATGAGCTTGTGAGATTTGGCGATTCAAGCGTTTCAACTCAAAATGTCATATTGCCAAGCACAGGAGGAACAACATATAACTTTGACCCTGCGCAATTCCTTGTCGATGACAATAACAATGTTTATCTATTTGATGAATACACAAATGAGACATATAATGCTACAAATACAACTTTACAATTGACATTATTCAATAAATCTATTTCTCTTATATTTGAAGATAAACAATATGATAATGTCTTGATTACTCCTGAATTATATAATTTTCAATATACAGCAGCAGGAACAAGCACACTAACCCCTACAATATCATATACAGGAAATACAACTGACCTTATAGCTTGGTATAAATTCAATAATAACTTTTTTGATGCGATGAATGATTACCACCTAGACACGACACCATTTGGCTATTCAATGCCTGACCCTGCTACATCTCCTAGTGTTTCATCTGCTATTGTGTCAGGTTCAACAGATGATTATTATTTGCAATTTAATCATTCAGGTGCTGGAAATCAAATCACATATACAATGACGTTTTTAATTGATACTGTTTGCGATATTTTAATTGTTGGTGGTGGCGGTGCTGGCGGTGGTCGTCAGGGTGCGGGTGGTGGTGGTGGTGGTGTCATGTATCTAACTAATCAAACAATAACCGCAGGAAGTCATACAATAACAGTCGGAAAAGGTGGGGTTGGTACAAATGCTGCTTTAACACTTGGCACGAAAGGTTTTGATTCAAGCTTTGACAGCTACACGGCATACGGTGGAGGTGCTGGGGCTGGCATGAGTGCCAACGTTTTAAATTACAATGCCAGCACTTATATCATAGCATCAGGAGGGGGAGGGAGGGGATGGGGCGCTAGCGCCTCAGATGATGGATGGTATAATGGAGGTTTAGGAAATGGCAACACATCAGACCTTACACTAAATGGAGGCGTTGGAAACAATGGCGGTAGAGGATATCAAAAATACGTCGAACCGATAACAGCAAAAAATACTGGTTTATTAGGAGGTGGCGGCGGTGGTGCTGGAGCTGTCGGAGGCGATGCCACACCAAACAGCGCAACATACAATGGAAAGGCTGGAGATGGTGGAAATGGAATAGAAATAAATATCAAGGGTGGAACTGGTAATTATTATGGAGGAGGTGGAGGAGGTGGATGTTTGTCTTTGTCTTCTGATATTGTAGGAGCTGGAGGGCTCGGAGGTGGAGGAGGAGGAAGAAACAACGCAGCAGGAACAGCAGGAACGGCAAACACCGGAGGCGGTGGAGGAGGTGGCGGCTATGCTAATCAGGCAGGGGGAAACGGTGGCTCTGGTGTGGTTATTGTTAAATATAATAGAAAGACTTATTATAATGATTTTACATTTTCAAATAGTCAATACTACAAGCTGTATTATTCACTTGAAAGTATTGACTCTACACCAGACAGGAGGCGAACAACATCGCAGCAATTGCCTTTAATTGTTCAGCCATCAGGTCAAACAGGAATAAGCATAAGCTTCTTCTTGAAGATTACAGGTTTAAAGTCAAGCCCAGCCGATGACTTCATAATATCAACAATTGATAATTTCATTTACATCAAAAGAAACGGTAATAATTTAGAATTTACATTCAATAACGCAGCTAATGTATCAAGCTTAACAAATGGATATGCTACCTCTACATCATTTAAACATTATTGCTTTGTGAATGATGGTTCAACTGCTTATCTATATATTAATGGAATAGCTCAGACATTAACAGTAACAACAACAAGCTTAATTGATATCAATAATAATATACAGATTGGGGAATTTATCGGGTATCTTCAAGACTTAAGGATATACAAAAAGCCACTTTCACAATCTGAAGCAAAAGATATAATAGGATATTCAGGACAAGGAGGCTTAACAGTTCAGAGTTTCGCCAAGCCTTACACCAACGCGCAAATCGATGATAAGATAAATAACATTACTGTTACAGATAGTTATACAGATATAGACGTACAGAATTATTTAACAGCTAATAATTATATAACATTAACAGATTTGAAGGATGAATCAAATGTTTTATATGCTCATACACTTACAGAAAGCAACATATTATTTAATCAGATTAAGGATGAATCAAATACATTATATACATTAATTCAAAATATTGATATACCCACAGGATATTCTGACACTGACACACAAGCATATTTAACGGCTAATAATTATTTAACTAGTGGAACCCAATTTATAAGGAGTGTAAGAAGTGGAGATTTTACCGTTACAGATGGAGAGCTTATTTTTAGTAAGATTCAAGAATTACCATTTATAAGCTCTGTAAGTGATGACTTCACGGTTACACTTGGTTATTTAGAATTAGCATCCCCACCCTTTACATCAGCAAATCAATTTATCCAGTCTGTCAATTCCTCCTTTTCTGTTACAGGCAATCAATTAGCTTTATCATTTACACCTTTTACATCAGCAAATCAATTTATCCAGTCTGTCAATTCCTCATTTGCTGTTACAGGTAATCAATTGGCTTTATCATTTACACCCTTTACATCATCAAGTCAATATATACAATCGGTCAATTCATCTTACTTTAGCGTTACAGGCAATCAATTAAGTCTAAGCTTCACACCTTTAATATCATCAAGTCAATATATACAATCGGTCAATTCATCATTTACTGTTACAGGTAATCAATTAGCTTTATCATTTACTCCTTTTACATCAGCAAATCAATTTATCCAATCTGTCAATTCTTCTTTTACTGTTACAGGCAATCAATTAGCTTTATCATTTACACCATTTACAAGCTCAGACCAGTTTATAAAATCTGTTAATACAAATAATTTATCGGTAAATGCTAGCGGTCAGCTTGATATCATAGCAGCTCCTCAAGATAATTTTATAAGCTCAGTTTCAAGCGATTTCAATGTTACCGGTGGATTATTAACACTTACAAATAATTATTTACCTTTAAGCTCTGTCAATCAGGGCATTGAATATATTGACAGCTTAACAACAACCGAAACAAAAACACCATTGAGTGAGAACACTTATTATGTTGAGTTTTTATATTCTGGCGCTGCTAATCAAAAACATATAACATGACATTTTCACATGACACGACATGTGATATTTTGATTGTTGGTGGTGGTGGTGCTGGCGGTGGTCGTCAGGGTGCCGGTGGTGGTGGTGGTGGTGTCATGTATCTAACTAATCAGACAATAACCGCAGGAAGTCATACAATAACAGTCGGAAAAGGTGGGGTTGCTGCCTCAACCGACACATTAGGAGGAGCCGGCTTTTCATCAAGCTTTGATAGCTTCACAGCATACGGAGGAGGCACAGGCGCAGGGTTTAGCATAAATGTCCCAGATTATAACGCTAGCACTTATATCATAGCATCAGGAGGAGGAGGGAGGGGATGGGGTACTAGCGCCTCCGATGATGGATGGTACAACGGAGGTTTAGGCAATGGGAACACGTCAGATCTTACACTAAACGGAGGCGTTGGCAATAATGGTGGTAGAGGATATCAAGACCTTACAGGCTCAGAATCTGGAAGCGGAGGAATAGAAACCGGATTATTAGGCGGTGGCGGTGGAGGAGCTGGAGCTGTAGGAGGTGACGCTACGCCTAACAGTCAAACATCTCCGACATACACGGGCAAGGCAGGAGATGGAGGGGTTGGCATTGAAATAAATATCAAGGGTGGCACCGGCAATTATTACGGAGGAGGTGGAGGAGGTGGTTCTTACTCTGTTTCTTCTGACATTGTAGGAGCTGGAGGGCTCGGAGGTGGAGGAGGAGGGAGAAACAACGCAGCAGGAACAGCAGGAGCAGCAAACACCGGAGGCGGTGGAGGAGGTGGAGGATATGCTAATGAGACAGGAGGAAACGGAGGCTCTGGAATTGTAATTATAAGATATTCTTTTGTTGGTGTGCCTTCTTATAATATTTACAATAAAAATGAGGTTGATGATTTGATAAATAATATTGTAATCCCAAGCGGTTACAGTGACACAGACACACAAGCATATTTAACTGCTAATGATTATATAACTTCCTCAAGTTTATCAAGTTACATTACATCTTCAAGCTTAACGACAACACTTGGAAGTTATGTTACATCTTCAACCCTCACTACTACATTAGGAAGTTATGTAACTTCAACAAATCTAACTAGTACTTTAATACCTTATCTTTTATCAGCTAATGAATTCATACAGAGTGTGTCAAGTGATTTCTCTGTATCATCTGGCCTGCTCACATTCACAGGTTCAACATCTAGTCAATGGACAACAACAGGCAACGACATATATTATACTACTGGCAATGTCGGGATAGGCACATCATCGCCAAGCAATAAATTACATGTAACAGGCGGCAATATATATTTATCTGGAATACAGATAACCCCAAGCACAAACACATACAGAATCAACACAGGGTTTAGGGTTTAGGGTTTAGGGTTTAGAGCGCCGGTTATTTCAGACAGCGCCGGTTATTTCAGACAGCGCCGGTTATTTCAGACAGCGCCGGTTATTTCAGACACCATGGCTGCACGCGTGGTGTAGGGGAAGCTGCCAGGGCGCCAAGGAAGCTGCAAGCGAGAGGTTTGTATACTTCAAATAGCTTTCTAAGTATGGTTCTTCAGTATGATGAAAATGTTCGCAACCTGCTGTATCGGAGATCATGCCAATACACGCAGAGCGGACTTGTGGATGCCTCTGTCCTCGAAGCTGATCTCGTCGAGAGGGTGAAGAGCTTCGCGAAGCGTTATCCGAACAGCAGGACAGCCCAGGCTTGCAAGGCTGTGGAGGGATGCACCCCCGACGCTATCGCAGAAGCCATCCGCTCGACATGTCAGCAGGCACGACGTGAGCTTCTGCAAGAAGCGATGACTGGATGGAGTGACGCATCCAGAGAGTGGTTTATGCAGCAGATTGAAGAAGCCAAGAAGGAGAAGGTCGAGACATACACCGCCTCAGCAGGCAACGAGGTGACTTCCTTCATCTCCATGACTCTCCTGGGCATCTCCTCGGTGTATGTCAACCATGAAGAAAAGCTGAAGAAGAAATTTGAAGAGATCGGACTGATCGTAGACTCAGTGCAAGAGAGTAAAGCAATCATGTGGAAGGCTCCGTATAGACCCGAGATAGCGAGTGCTGAGGAGATCCCGGTGACTGTTTCCTTCCTCCGCAATGCACAAGCGGAGAAGCTCTGGCAGGGAAGAGAGGACTTCGCGATCGATGGTCGCAAGTTCACAGCTGTACATGTGAGCATCGTGCACGATCGATCTTTCAAGATTCGAGCCAAGAGAGGACCCTGGGGCAAAGGGGGCAGCTTGGCAGAGCTGACTCACCTGCTAACCTTGGGCGGCATGACAACGGCTGAGATAGCTGCCGTCTATCGCTATCAGCTGCTGCGCCAGTCCCTTGCAGCGGTCCAACTCCAGCCGCTGGCAGGCATGCTAGTCGCTGGGGCGCCAGGACAGCAAGTCCACAAAGGCTTAGGTCAGAAAGGCTTCATCGCTGTAGGGGCCAACGTCATCTGGAGACAGAGGGAGGTGGAGTGGATCGTCTCCTCGAGCTGCCCAGAGGCGAATGATACAGCATTTCGAGCTTTCCGAGAGAGCGAAGCGATGGAGGGAGTACACCTGACTCTGTTCAGCGAGGACCCGAAGATCAGAGAGGCGCTCGCAGTCGAGTTGACAGCTGATCGCTTTGTGTCCAGAAATAAGTTGAAGAAGGCATCAAGGATGCAGAAGAAGGCAGGCGGCAAGGACGGCAAGGAGATCAAGATCATCATCAAGTCGACGGCGGCATCTGGTCGCTTCACGAGGAAGGAGATGGAGGGGCTGTGCAACGGCGGCAACACGTCTATCGCAAGAGTCAAGAGAGTCTTGTTGGAGATCGCTAACAGGCTCGAGATCAACGTTGAAGGCATCGACATGGAGGAGGATTTGAACACCAAGTCCTGGAACGGGTCCAAGCTATGCATCCTCCTCGGCTCCACGGAGGATGCTCGACGCATGATGAAGGAGCTGCCCTTCTATCTCGAAGGCGCAGCAACCAAGCTCGAAGCAGTCGGCTTCGACAAGGAGCCTGAGGCGGCTGGTCAGCGGGGCACCAGCGACGCAGCGCAGCGACAGGAGGAGAGCGAGGGAGAGTGGCTGGAGTTTACAGACCTGGAGAGGATCACAATGGAGGCAGCATCTCCGTCAAGCCAAGAGGACATGCAGCTCGTCAGCGAGCTGTCAGCAGTCATCGAAGATGCAGCTTCTTTGAACGAGGCAGGGACGAGCGAGCCGATCAAGCTGGTCCTGGACAAGGCCGTTGGCAACCTCCACGACACCTTCTACTCTCCGGGGAGCCTGGAGTTCATGTCGCTGGGAGAGTGGGCGAAGATGCCAGAGGAGCAGGGAGTTGGGCGCAACGTTCTCAAGGAGAAGCTGGGGAAGTGGCTGCAGAGCAAGCGCTGGACTCGCGTGCAAGGAGAGAGCAAGAAGGCAAGGAGGGGCAGCGCGTTCTCGCCACGGGCAACGGCAGCTGCTGAGCTTGAGCAGGAGGCGGAGAGCGACGACATAGAGCGTCGATCTCTTAGCCTCCTGTTCATAGCACTGAGTAAATTCGCAGAGATGCATGTGCTGGCCTGCTCGCTGAAGGTGGACAAGAAGGACCGACTGCGGGTGGAGATGAGGGAAGATGGCGAAGAAGAGGAAGACATGGAGGAAGAGCAAGGCGAGGGCGAGGAAGAAGACGGGGCGAGCCCGTACCGAGCTTGAGCTGAGCTCAAGGTAAGGAGAGAAGGTAGGAGGCGACCGAAGGCCAAGGTGAGGAGAGGCAACTCTCCTGACTGAAGCTGAGGAAGCTGAATGGAGGAGGAGTAGGTGGCGACCGAAGGCCAAGGTGAGGAGAGGCAACTCTCCTGACTGAGGCTGAGGAAGCTGAATGGAGGTAGAGTAGGTGGTGACCGAAGGCCAAGGTGAGGAGAGGCAACTCTCCTGACTGAGGCTGAGGAAGCCAAGAGAAGACAGCAGAAGTAGAGAGTAGAAAGACGCCTCAGAAGCAGGGTTCGCATTGTAGGCCGTGTACTCCCAGTGCTCGAGCGCCTCTTTAGACTAGGATCAAATTGCAAAAGCCCACAACGAGGCGGAGCAACATTCTAGCATTCTAATAAACTCACATAATAATAATCATAATAATAATAATAGGGTTTAGGGTTTAGGGTTTAGGGTTTAGGGTTTAGGGTTTAGTTGGGCACAAACTCCCAACATACTTACGAGACCAACTTCAGGACAACATCCTCCCAACGTATGAGGAGCTGTGTAACAGACGAAGGGATCAGATCCAGCCGCGCAGCAATCATCAAGGCGGAAGGCATTTCACAGCAGCTATTGAAGGAGACATCATGCAGGGCAGAAAAAACAGATCCATGCGAATAGGATATGTTCTCCAACAACAAGAGATGACGTCAGGAGGAGGGATGAAAATCAATGGGAAGTGCAGCATCATTCGAGCGAACACAATCGCAATTGGCTTACTTCTGCAACATGTCCTTGAGGAAGGAATACAGATCAAAAGGGGAAATCAAGTCACAATAATGTACCAGTCCACACGTTTCCACCGCTTTATAACAAATACGTTGCGAATGGATACCATGCGATACGAAGACGAACTGCTGGAGGACTTACATGATCGGTTACTCACTTGCATGAAGAAACTCGAAGGGAGGGGAATCAGGATCCGACTCCAACTAGCAAAAGAATCTCAGAGACACATTCAAGAGGCAAAGGAAATGGCAAAGCAAGGAAAACAAGCAGTCGCCTCGGGATGGGAGAAAGCAATCTACGATAGCCCAATGGAATTCATCATTGCAGGAGAAGAAAATCCTACATCAGGATTCGATCGCTTGAAGAAATGGGACTACATTATCAGACAACAGACAATGGTGGCAAGGATTCGAGCGGGAGACCTCACCTTGACAGAGAAATTCATGCTCGAAATGCATGTGGGAAGAGATTTACTAGGGAGAGCGTTCAGATTATGCGAAGGGTCAGTTACGCGAACAGCTATCCAAGCGATCACCTTCTCAGCACCGACGAGGAAGAAGCTCTTTCAATGGGGGAAAACTAACTCACCATGTTGTCCTCACTGTCCAGACCGAGAAGAAACCTGGGGACATGTTCAGCTTGCGTGTAGGCAATTCCAAGATATGATCCAAAAAGCACACAACGAAGTCATGAAGAAGATCAAGGTAAGACTGCAGCAGAGCTGGAGGAAACAAAGGGTACAGGTCAATTCATGGTGGGACACTCCAATACGCATCGTGATGGAAGCGATGGGGACTTCAATGCACCGAGAAGGGCAATGGATACCAGACGGTTGCTGCTACTTTGCAAGCATCAAACGCATTGTCCTCATCGAATTTGCAAGGACATCGGAATATGACGGAGTCGAACAAACAAGTCTGGAATGCCTGAAGAAGAAATTTCAGGAAAAGGAAGAGAAATATGCCCCCCTACGAGCAGAAATCACAGCTTTGCTACCTGACCATGAAGTGGAACAAGCAACATTCATAGCAGGAGTGAAAGGATCGATCATGGAGAGGGAATGGCATGAGAATTTCAGGAGGCTAAGGGTGGATGACACGGAATGGGAAGGCATCAAGACAGCAGCAATCAAGCAACTGCTGGCGGTACAACATACGCTATGGACGGCAAGAAGGGTAAGAGAGTCGATGTAGTCCGATGGGGGCAGGCGCGGCTCATGGGCAAGCCACCCATGGCGCATGGTCATGGGCTGCATGAAGGGAAGAAGAGAAGGGCTAGCCAGCAGGAGAAGGTACAGCCATGCCACAGTGGGCGACTGCATGCTGGGGGGGGAAGGGGCAGGAAGATGCAACGGAACTTAGCGAAAATAAGGAAGGGGACCGGGATCGGAATTGGAACGGGCCCGGAGGACATCGTTACTGAAAACAAGTAATACGGAAGCAACCAGGCCTAAGGGGCCTATAGGAAAATGGGCCAACCTCCCAAGGTTGGGAACCCCTTTAGACGGATCATTAGGCGAGAGATGAGCGAAGAGCAATAGTTCTTAGCTATGAAACTCTTGACTAAGAGTCTAATAAACTCAAATAATAAAAATAATAATAGGGTTTAGGGTTTAGGGTTTAGGGTTTAGG